AAGTTTGAATTCTTTTTTTTTCTCTGCTCTTGTCCTTTACGGCTCCTCAAAAGCACTTAATGCCATCAAGTGGTTCATCTTGTCCGTCCGCAGGCCTGGTATGCTCAATCAATGTTCTACAATCCAAACTCTTCATTCTTTCCTATTTTCTCCTCCTTGTGTAACTCTATGTTCTCAGTGTTCTAACATTTAAATGGTAATGGTTGATTGACAGGTGATCTAGTACTGTACCTTCCTCTTATATTTACATTTGGAAAACAGATGTGTAGAATAGAAATCATAAACATAAGCATGTGTTTAATTTTTATTACATTTAAAATTTTTATTTTTTTCTATTTTACTTTATTTTTTAAAATATTTATTTATTTATTTTTGAGAGAGACAGAGACAGAGACAGAGAGAGATAGAGAGAGAGGGAGACAGATACCAAAGCAGGTTACTTGCTATTAGCACAGAACTAGATGTGGGGTTCAAACCCACAAACCAGGACATCATGACCTGAGCTGAAGTCTGATGCTTAACCAACTGAGCCAACCAGGCACCCTATGTTGTTGTTGTTGTTGTTGTTGTTGTTGTTATTGTTCTTCTTCTTCTTCTTCTTCTTCTTCTTCTTCTTCTTCTTCTTCTTCTTCTTCTTCTTCTTCCCTTCCTCCTCCTCCTCCTCCTTCTTTTAGAGAGAGAGAGTGCAAGGGGAGGAATGGGGTGGGGGAGGGAGAGAGAGAGAGGGAGAGAGAATCTTAAGGAAGTTCCACACTCAGTGGTGCTTGATCCCATGACCTTGGGATCATGACACGAGCTGAAATCAAGAGTCAGACACTCAATTGACTGAGTCACCTAGGCACCCCAATAAACATGTTTTTTAAATTAAAAAGTATTTTAATTGTGATAAAATGCACCTAACATTTAATTTACCATCTTACTAATTTTTAAGTGTACAGATCAGTGGTATTAAGTGCATTCACACTGTTATACAGCCATCAGCACCAGCCCTCTCCAGGACACATTTCATCTTACAAAATGAAACTCTTTACCCATAAATAATAACTCCCCATTTCTCCTTTCCCCTCAGCCACCTTTTCTAGTTTGTCTTTACAAATTTTACTACTAAACATACTTTACATATGTGGAGTCGTACAGTATTTAACTTTTTGTGACTGGCTTATTTAATTTAGCATAATGTCCTCAAAGTTCATCTATGTTGTACTATGTTGTCAGAATTTCTTTCTTCTGAAGGTTGAATAATATTGTAACTAATTGCATCTAATACCACATTTTGTTTACATTTCATCTGCTGAAGGATACTTGAATTGCTTCCACCTGCTGGCTATTATGAATAATGTTGCTATAAACGTAAGCACCCAGATATCTCAGTAATTCCAGTGTATCCCTAAATGCCTTCAAATTTGGTCGGTCTGTCCTAGAAATGGATTTGGTGGATCATTCAATAATTTGATGAAGATTTTTTTGAGGAATTCCCATAATGTTTTACCCAGAAGCTGTGTTTTACATTCTCACCAACAGTATACAAGGATTCCAATTTCTTCACATCATTGTCATCGCCGGTTATTATTATTTTTTTAACAGTAGCCATCCTAATGGGCATGAGATGGCACCCCATTGTGGTTTTGATTTGCATTCCCTTAATGAGTAGTGATGTTTAGCATCATTTGATTGTGCTAATTGGCCATTTGTAAATCTTAGGAGGAATAGCTATTCAAGTCCCTTATCTTTGTTTAAATTAGGTTGTTTGGTTTCTTGTTGTTGAGATGTAAGTGATCCTTTCATATTTTGGATGTTAAAATGATACATGATTTGCAAAGATTTTCTTCAATTTCATAGGTTTCCTTTTCATCCTGTTGATTGTGTCCTTTTATGCACAGAAGTTTTGAATTTTACTATAGTCCAATTTATATATTCTTCTTTTGTATCTTCTGCTTTTGGTGTATAATCATGAACTTATTGCAAAGTCCCATGTTGTAAAGATCTTCCTGCATGTTTTCTTCTGAGAGATTTTTGGTTTTAGTTTCACATTTAGGCCTTTTATTCATTTTATGTTGATTTTTGTATATGGTGTAAGGTAAGGGTCCCTTTCATCTTTTTTGTGATGTGGATCTGAAATCATCGCATCACCACTTGTTGAAAACACTGTCCTCTCACAATGAAATGGTCTTGCAACCCTTGTTGAAAATCATCTGACCATGTATTCAAGGATTTATTTCTGTGCTCTCTATTCTATTTCATTGGTCTATATGCCTGTCCATATGCTAACACAACACTGTTTGGATTACTAAAGTTTTGTATCAAATGTTACAATCACAAAGTGTAGGGTCTCCAGTTTTATTCTTCTTTTAAAAGATTGTTTTGGCTATTTGGGGGTCCCTTGAGATATCCTATGCATTTCTGGGTGGATTTTTCTATTTCTGTAAAAAAAGGACCTTTGGGATTTTGATAGGAATTAAATTAAATGTGTAGACATTTCTGTAGTATTGTCATTAACAATATTAAGTTTTCCAATCCATGAACACAGATGTATTCCCATTTTTTGGTGTGTCTTATTCAATTACTCATAGCAATGTGTTATAATTTCAGCATACATTCTTTAGTCCCTGTAGTTAATTTAATTTTATTCCTAAATAATTTACTATTTAAAACATTTTTTAATGTTTATTAATTTTTGAGAGAGAAAGAGAGAGAGAACAGAGAGAGAGAGAGAGAGAGAGAGAACAAGTAGGAGAGTGACAGAGAGAGGGAGACACTGAATCTGTAGCAGGCTCCAGGCTCTGAGCTGTCAGCACAGAGCCCGATGTGAGGGTCCAACCCACAGATTACGAGATCATGACCTGAGCTGAAGTCTGATATTTAAGCAATTTGCCACCCAGGCAACCTTATTCTTTTTAATGCTATTGTAAATGGAAAAGTTTTCTAATTTCCTTTTTGGATTATTTTGTTAGTGGATAGAAGTGCAATGGAGTTTTGCATGTTGTTTTTGTATCCCATAATTGTGCTGAATTCATTTACTAGTTCTTTTTAAAAAAAATTTTAATGTGTATTTATTTTTGAAAGAGAGACAGACAGACAGACAGAGACAGAGAGAGAATGTGAGCGGGGGAGGGGCAGAGAGCAAGGGAGACACAGAATCCCAAGCAGACTCCACGTTCAGAGCTATCAGCACAGAGCCCGATGCGGGGCTCGAATATGAACTGTGAGACCATGACCTGAGCCAAAGTCGGAGGCTTAACCGACTGAGCCACCCAGGTGCCCCAGCATTTATTCATTCTTGAGAGACAGAGTGTGAGCAAGGGGGGAACAGAAAGAGAGGGAGACACAGAATCTGAGGCAGACTCTACGCTCTGAGCTGTCAGCACAAAGCCTGAAGTGAGGCTCAAATCATGAACTGTGAGACCATGACCTGAGCTGAAGTTGGACACTCAATCAACTGAGCCACCCAGGTGCCCCTTTCCAGCATAGTTTTGAGACAAGTTCTGACAATGTTACTTGGAAGGCAGAGAAGAAAGAAAGGGATGCATGAACCCAAACAATAGCCATGCTTGAATTTCTTACTTCATTCTGCATCTGGGAAACCGCTATGTTGTATCTGGGAAACCCATGTTGGCTCTGGACTCATGAAGCTCCTTGATGTGAATCCATGAAGAGTGGCCTCCATGGAACAACATGAGTTAAGCTTCCATCTGTGTGTCTAGAGATGCATGTTTGTAGGACTTTCCAGAAGATGTGTCCCTCTCCAGAACTTTATCTGATAATCCTCAGAGGTTTTGTTTTATTTTAAAAAATGAAGTCATAAAATGGGAGCTAAAGAAGTGCTTGTTTTGCCTTTGGTACATCATAGCAAAAGACCAGTCTTTAAAAATTTGTATAGCCATGGGGACATTTTCCCATGCTGACCCTAGAGCTTTCTCCTTGATCTTTGACGACCATGTTGGCCTGCGGGCAGTTACCACAAATGAAATCTTGTAAACTGGTATGAGACCAGCTGCAACATAATAGTGGGGAGCTTTAAACCTTACAAACTTGTGGGTCTCAATCCTGCAAAATAAGAGTCATGGAATTAGTGGTGGGATCATAGAATCTGTAGTTTTCAATCAGTGGTACATTGTTTCTATGAGCTATTGTATGAATATCAGCTGTTATGTCTTTCAGAATTTGAAAATCTGGGAAGAAAAGGATCCTAAATCATGCTCCAGGGTTTCAATGCAAAACCACATCTTCATGGTTACCTACCCTGTGGAAGAAAATCATCCAATTAAAGTTTGGCAACAAAATGATACCCATGGACAACATCCTTGGGGAAAGCATCCTTGAGGTTATATGTCCACTAAGTGTATAAGATTAGTGCTTGCTGCCTCATTCACATATGCTGGTTATGTTATGATGAAATCGCTGAAATGGTGGAACAAGGTATACATCTCAGATAATTTTTATAGGAGTTGATAACCGCAATTATGATATTATTTTTTCTGACTAGGACTCATAGTTTTCACTTTTTAAATGATTTTGAATGCGAGAATATTTGACTATTGACAAGAAATGTGATTTTTTACTCCTAAAAAGCTTTTACTAAAAAGATTGCATTCTTTACAATTGGTATAATTTACGACTAGAGGAATATTGTATTCTAGTCATAGTGAGTCTTCAATCAAAGGCTGTTTATTTATTATTTTTGTGTAATTTAACAAATATGTTAAACAGTCTCTGTTCCACATGTGAGTCACAGTGAATTGACTATTTATTACTTCCACTGATTTCAACTCAAAACCTTTTCCTGAAATTCTACTGGATTAAAGGTTGACTCTGAATGGGTATGTGAAAATATAAAAAGCTGTCTTAAAATGCTCAAGTAAATAGCTACAGAAATATCCTGGGATGCTGGGTTAAAGACCTTCCAGGTGAGGTAGATTTTAATCCATTTCAGTTTCCGTCCAGCAGGGGGCGCAGCTTTCTAAAACAAACATTTTCCTGTGAGAAACGTGGACGTCCACTGCTCATTGCTGTCTCTTCAGTGCTTCTTCCTGCTAAGAATGAGCACATTCTTTAGGTGACACTCTAGAGATGAACCCTTCTCCAGGCTTCGTGACTGTGGTACTCTTGCTTCTTGGTAAGTAAAATTCCTCTTAAAATTTGGATTCTTTCTTTTGTTGTGACAGCAAAACCTATAACTATAATTTTATCCAGGAGATTTATGTCTAAGGTGACACAGGTCTCTTTTCCTTTTCCCCAGGACAAACCCATGGAGACTCAGTGACCCAGACAGAAGGTCCAGTGACCATTCCTGAAAGGGAGTCCCTGACTATAAACTGTACTTATTCAGTGGCAGGGTCCCCTACTCTTTTCTGGTATGTCCAGTATCCCAGAGAAGGTCCACAACTCCTCTTGAAAGCCATGAAGGACAAGGAGAAGGGAAGTCACAAAGGTTTTGAGGCCACCTACGACAGCAAATCCAAAACCTTCCACTTGGAGAAGTCCTCAGTGCAAGCGTCAGATTTGGCCGTGTACTACTGTGCCGTGATTGACACAGTGACAGGGACTGCAGGGGGAGCTGAGCACAAACTCTGAGCAGAGCAGGGGCCCGGATGCTGAGTGTCTCTGACTGATCCACTCTGGTTCCAGCACAGTGTATGGTTGTCTGTCCCTCAGTGTCTGCTTGATACAAAAGTCATACAAATGGCTAGAGCCTAGGAACCAGAGGGACATTCCCCAGCCCAGCTGCTCATTAGTGCAACTGGAAATGTCAGTAGTTCCTCAGCCAGGACCCAAGTAATTTCAAGGTGAAACCATAGAACATTGACGTGGTCGCTTGCTCATCCTGCAGAGAGAGTCCAGCCCCACAGGATGTTCAGGCCACCCTGGGGGGTATTGCTGTGTCTCATCACAGGTTTAGAGAGCCAGGCTGTGCCCGAGAAGGTGGTGTCTGCCCCATGTCTTCCTGACAAAGAATGTGCAGGAGAGGTGATGGGAGAGCTATAGCCCAAGCCAGGTTTGGCTACAGAAAGAAGGGGAGGGAAGAGAGGAGGGGAGCATATGTGAGTGAGCAGTGAAAAGAGATACAAGGGACCCCTGTCTGGTTTCTTTTCTAGACAGTAGGCACAGGCTGATATTTGAAATGAAGGGAAGGGGAAGAAACATAACTGAGGAAATGACTCATGTCCATGCCATTTAAGTAGATCTCCTGGCTGTTGAACAGTAAGAATTCAAGTGAGATGGTTTTCAGTGCCCAGGAAATATGGTGAGAGAAAATGTTCTTGGTCTGATTTTTTTTCTTTAAGTTTATTTACTTATTTAAAAAAATTTTTTATAGTTTTTTTTTTTTTTTTGAGACAGAGAAAGACAGAGCATGAACAGAGGAGGGGCAGAGAGAGAGAGAGGGAGACACAGAATCTGAAACTGGCTCCAGGCTCTGAGCTGCGAGCACAGAACCCAATGTGGGGCTCGTACCCACTACCTGTGAGATCATGACCTGAGCTGAAGTCGGACGCTTAACTGACTGAGCCACCCAGGTGCCCCTATTTACTTATTTTGACAGAGAGAGAGAGACAGAGAGAGAGAGAGAGAGATGGAAGGGCAGAGAACAGAGAGAGAGAGAGAGAGAGAGAATCCCAAGCAGCCTCTGTGCTGTCAGCACAGAGCCCAACGAGGGGCTGGAACTCACGAACTATGAGATCATGATCTGAGATGAAATCAGGAATTACAGGTTTAACTGACGGAGCCACCCAGGCGTCCCCAGAGACTCGGTCTTTATCACAAAAACCTTTTGGAAATAGTATTAATGCATCCAGTAATTCATGTATTTGGTGTCCCTTTCTCTATTTTTAAGTTTATTTATTGAGAGAGAAAGAGAGAGAGAGAGAAGAATGTTTGTGAGTGGGTTGGGGCAGAGAGAGGGAATTCCAGTGAGAATTCCAAGCAGAGAATCCAAAGCAGGCTTCACTCTGCCAGCACAGAGTCCAACTACGGGCTCCATTGTGTGAACTGTGAGATCGTGACCTGAGCCAAGATCAGGAGCCAGACACTTAACCAACTGAACCACCCAGGTGCCCCTGGTGTTCCTTTATAATAGAGGGTTACGAAAAGTTAGAAAGTAAGAAATCTTTCTTGCTTCATAGTATTTGGAACTATTTTACTATAGTTGATCTCTAGTAAAAACATATTGACTGACACTGACTACATAATTTTTTGTAGTTTTTTTAAGGTTATTAAAAATCTCTCAATTCAAAATCTGGTCTGAGTGTCCAAAAGATCTATCCTGGACATGGACACTTCTTGAATGACAGAAGCATGATCATTTGATTCCTTCATTGAGAAATGTGTTAGAGTTGAATAATAGGAAGAGATTTTTTTTTTAACTTAAACACAGGTTTATATTACACCCATATCCATTCTCTTGACCATTTTTCACTATTGGCTCCTTGGAGACACATTTTTAAGAAGTCTAATCCAAGTTAGTTAACATATAGTGTAATAATAATTTCAGGAGTAGAATTTAGTGATTCATCACTTACATAAAACACCCAGTGCTTGTCCCAACAAGTGCCCTCCTTAATGCCCCTCACCCCTTTTGCCCCCACCCAAAACCCCACCAGCAACCCTCAGTTTGTTCTCTGTATTTAAGAGTCTTTTATGGTTTGTATCCTTCTCTGTTTTTATATTATGTTTGCTTCCCTTCCCTTATGTTACTCTGTTTTGTATTTTAAATTCGACATATGTGTGATATCATATTCGTCTGTCTCTGACAGACTTATTTTGCTGACACTCTAGTTCATCCACATTGTTGCAGACTGCAAGATTTCATTCTTTTTGATCACTGAGTAATATTTCATTGTATTATAAATACCACATATTCTTTATCCACTCTTCTGTTGATGACATTTGGGCTCTTTACGTACTTTGGCTACTGTCAATAGTGCTGTTATAAATATTGGGGTGCATGTGCCCCTTTCAGTCAGTCTTCCTGTATCCTTTGGATAAATACTTAGTAGTGCAATTGCTGGGTCATAGTGTAGTTCTATTTTTAATTTTTTGAGGAACCTCCACACTGTTTTCCAGAGTGGCTGCTGTCACTCTGAGCTGTCAAAACTAAACAGTGAAGAGACCTCGGTGATGGGATCTTTTGTCTGAGGGCTTCAGTCTAAACACTTCAGCAAAGAGTGACTAGATTTTTCTGCTTTTGGCTCCAACGTAGGGACATGAACAGATACTGATAAAGAAGAGAAATACTGACATAATAATAGGTAGAATGAAAGAGCTACAGTGGTTAGTCTAAACACTGTCTTCTATCATAACATGATTTATTTTTATGTTAATTTTTTAAAAATGTTTTATTTATTTCTAGGAGAGAGAGAGAGAGACAGCGTGAGCAGGGGAGGGTCAGAGAGAGAGGGAGTCACAGACTGAAACAGGCTCCAGGGTCCGAGCTGGCAGTCAGCACAGAGCCCGACGTGGGGCTCGAACCCACGAACCGCGAGATCATGACCTAAGCGAAAGTCGGACGCTTAACCGACTAAGCCACCCAGGCGCCCCGATTTATTTTTATGTTAACTAAGTAATTTTCTATGATAGAATATGTGTGTGAGTGTACATGATTCTTAATCTTATGTTTTTTTCATAATATATCACATGTAGTATTTTTAAGTAAGTGCCATCTACCCACTTTCATCACAGATGCAGTGAATGAAGGTATCATAGTTAAACCATCAATGCTCATTTCAGTGTTAAAATTTGCAAATTCATTTTCAAGTGGAGTGGTTTCCAAGTTAAGAGGTGTTTACTGTGAAAAGATGTTTGGGCAGTGAGACTCTCTGCTGGGACAGAGCAAAGTGTGACATGACCCACACAACGTGCTACACCAGGAAACCCCTGTTTCCTGTTCTGGAGCCACAGCAGCACATACCCAGCCATTCTTCCCTCACCCTGGCGGGCCCTTCTTGCAGTGCTGAGTCCTGAAATTGAAGTAGACATTTTCCATCTAGTGAAAGATCTCAAATATGTTGCTGTCCAACCTTCTGAAGGTGGCTGGGTAGGGGCTGTTCCTTTGGAAATGTGCCTCCTCTATACTCTAAAGGTAGTGAGATAGACAGGGTCTTGTGAGTACTGTGGGAAGGAAGGAAAGTAACATGTAAAATAGAATTTCTTTGTGCCACATCACTTACTCTGATTGCATATTTTTTTCTTTGAGGATCTAGTATTGCCTAGAAGGTAACTCAAGCCCCACTGGCAATGTTAGTGCCGGAGAAGGGGGCTGTCATCCTGAAATGCACATATGATCCCGGTGATATAAATTATAGTCTATTGTGATACAAGCAGCCCAGTAGTGGAGAGATGACTTTCCTTGTTTGTCAGGATTCTTAGAATCAACAAAGTGCCACAGAGGGTCACTTGTCATTGAATTTCCAAAGACAAGAAACCTACCCATCTTGTCATCTCACCTTCACAGCTGGAGGACTCTGCATGTATTTCTCTGCACTGACAGAGTGTACAGTAAGAGGTGTGTTGGAGGGTGGTACCCCAACCCCAGGGATCTTGTTGATACATCCCCGTGCTGTACAGCCCAATGCAGGGGATTGTTGACCCGCACAGAAAGTGACTAGGGCTTGGTAGCTCAGGTGTAGGCTAGAGGGAAACCTGACTCTAAGAAAATACCTCCGTAGGTATGAGTTATCATGCATCCAAAACATCTTTACCCCTGAAAATTTGTGTTGAAAGTGTTTATTGATCACTAGAATAGTCATGATAAACCATTTGCTATTTTGCAGTTAGATTCAGCTAGAAGAACTGGCTAAAGACATTTGGAAATGTGTGACTCAAAAATCAGCTCAAATGTGTATGAGTTGTTGGATTTTCATATCAATTTTGTTCAGTAAATAAATATTTATTGAGTTTGTATTGTGTTTCAGGCATTGTTTAGAATAAGGAAGGCTGTGAAATGTTTTGTGTTCTTCCTTTTTTGTTTTATATTATGATGTTTTATACTATTTAATTAATTAGTTTAATTAGGTTTGTTTACTGTGAGTCAACTGTACTTACATGTATTTTCCAAGGTGCCTAATCTGTGACATATGTCTGTACTGTCGTTCATCCCATCTTAATAACACTGCTAGCATCCATGTCCTCAATTTGCATTCTGGAGATTTACCTGTTTCTCAACAGTGTTAACCACAAGATCAGTCGTTAGTGGCTTTAATGGGACCCTGTGAAGTGACAGAGTGTAAATTATCCTCTTTGTTAGTCCCTCCCTTCACTTCAAACTCTTTTACAAGCATTTTTTGCCAACATGTGGCTCAGTATGCACGCTTCTGAGTCTTCCTTGTTTGATCAATGTTTCATAATCCAAAGTCCACATTCTCTCCATCTTCAACCTTCTGCTTCTAAACATATTTCCCCAGTGCCATAAAATTAGATGGTTGATAATTAGTCTTGCATTGTAATACCCGCTTATATTTGTTTGGAAAGCAGATGAGTAGGGTAGAAATCTTAACAAGAACCTCTTAAAAATCAAAAAAAAATTTTAATGTTTCATTTATTTTTGAGACAGAGAGAGACAGAGCATGAGAGGGGGAGAGGCAGAGAGAGAGAGAGGGAGACACAGAATCCGAAGCAGGCTCCAGGCTCTGAGCTGTCAGCACAGAGCCTGACATGAGATCATGACCTGAGCCAAAGTCAGAGACTTAAGCAATTGAGCCCCCTAGGTGTCCCCAAAAACTTTTAATTAAAGAATTTTTACAGTTGTAACATAGATTTTTTTTTTTTTTTTTTACTGTTCTAACAATTTTTAAGCATACGATTCTACGGTACTAAATACATTCTCATTATTGTTCAACCGGCACCACCATTCACTTCTAGAATTCTTTTCATCTTGACAAATTGAATATGTGTACTCATTAAACAATAGTTCTCCATTACCCCATCCCTCCAGTCCTTGGGAACTACCATTCTGCTTTCTCTTTCTATGGGTTTGACTAATTTAAATACCTCATAGAGGTGGGATTATGCAATGAAAGTCATTATGTGATATTTTGTTTGACATAATGTCCTCGGGGTTCATCCACCTTGTAGCCTGTGTCAGACTCTTTTTTCCTTTTTAAGGTTGAATAATGTACGAGTGTATGTATGTTCCATATATCGTTTATCTGTATGCCCCTGTGGATGGTCTTTGGAGTTGCTTGAGCCTTTTGGTAGAAACATGAATTTATAAGCATCTCAGGATCTTGTGTTTATAGCCAAAGTCTTTGAATTTTTGAACATATACCAGAAGTGGAATTGCTGGATCATAAGGCAATTCAATCTGAATATTTTTGAGAAACATTTATATTGGTTAATTGGAACAACTACACTCTAGACTACGTTATCACAAGCAAGTTTCAAGAAACAGAGAAAGGGAGTGATTGCTAGTCATGAATGAAGCTCTCGTGTATTGGTGGTTCACAAAACCCTTGCTACCGTGTGCTGCTTCAATCACATGTCTAATAAATGCTTTGAATGGAATAGTGAAACTCCTACCCAGTGGTCAGCTCCTGAACAGTTTGGGTATCCATTGTAATATGTGTTTTTCTTTCCTCTTTTGTAAAAGAGCCAAATCTGCAATTATTTAATTCTGTCTATCAGTTCCACTTGCATACATAAAGAACCTATTAAAGAATGCCTTAAAATATTTGGAAGGCTTGGGGAGAAGTCATTTTGCCACCCTCCAGTCTCTTTCTCAGATTTTCTGTGACAACAATCTATGGTGGCAAAAATAGGGAACAGGTTTTTGCTATCATCGAGCACTGTGTTCAAAACTATTAGCTCAACCATGAACTTTGATACTTTTGAACTTCATTTCATTATTTGTAAAACAGGAGAATGATATTTTCTTTAATATTTTGTTGTGACAATTTATCAAAAATGCATCCAAAGTGATTGACAAGTAGCAGATGACCAATTTATGAGAGTGATCTTAATATGTACAGATAAAGCATTTTTTATAAAATCCAGATCCATTCCTGATTGAAACCCCCATAAATTAGGAATTAAAGGGATTTTCTCAACCTAAGAAAGGGGTTCTACAAAAATCCTACATCAAATGTCATACTTGAAGGTGAAAGCCTCAATGCTTTCTCATTAGTTTCAGAAGTAACGGAAGAAGTTTGGCTCTCACCACTTGTATTTAATATTGAACTAGAGGTTCTAGCCAATTTAATAAGGAACATGGAAGAAACAAAAGACATACATTTTGGAAAGGAAGAAGTGTATTTATCTTTATTAGCATAATCGTATGAGCAGAAAATGCAAGGAACCTCCAAAAATCTACTTGAAAAAATTGGTTTAATAAAGTCAAATATACACCTACCATATAACCAAGCCATTCTAATCCCTGATATTGACCCAAGAGAAATGAAAGCATATGTCAATAAGAAATCATATGTGCAGGGCACCTGGGTGGCTCAGTCGGTTGAATGTCTGACTCTTGATTTCCTCTCAGGTCATGATCAGTTGTGATATTGAGCCCTGTGTTGGACTCAGCATACTGAGCATAGAACCTGCTTGGGATTCTCTCTCTCTCTCCCTCTCTATGATCCACCCTCCTGTGTGTGCACACTCTCACTCTCTCTATAAATAAATTTTAAAAACATTAAAAAATCATATACACAAATGTTCACAGCAGCTTTATTTGTAACAGCTGCACTGGAACTAATCTTATGGTCATCAGCAGTTGAATAGACAAATTGTTTTATAGGCCTAGATAAGATTCTACACAACAACAAAAAAACCTACAAATTTTTTATAATTATAGCCATGGAAGAATATCAAAATAATTATGTGGAAAAATATCAAAATAATTGTGCTGAGATGAAGCCAGACAAAAGAGTACCTGTGATTCCATTCATACAAAATTATAAAATATGCAGACTAATTCATGACAGAAGTGTTGCCTGGAATGCGGGAGGGAAAGGGTTGAAAGAAGCGTTATAAAGAGACATGAGGAAGCTTTTTAGATGATGCATATGTTCATTACCTCAGTTGTGGTGATGGCTTTGCAAATACATATATACGTCAAATCTTATAGAATCGTTTACTTTAAATTTGTGCAGTTTATTTTCATTAAAATTACACGTTAATAAAGCCATAAAGATGCAAATGTACTACATATCTTCCCTCAGTGTTGTGCAAGTCTTCTTGTGTGATCCCAAATACAGAATATTTCTCCTGTAGGTTTTCACCGACCTAAAACTATGTTTTTAAAAGAAGTTATAGATGACGACTTTCTCCATCCGTGTGCTACACTTTATTGTCTAACCAGCATCACCCTAACCTTCCTGTATATCTGGATAGAAGTTTAATGAAACTTGTCTTGAACTGCTTCTAGCAGAGTTTTGAGGCAGGTTCTGACAATGTGATTTGGAAGGTGGAGGAGAAGGAGAGGGATGCGTGAACCCAAAAAGTGTCCAGGCCTGAATTTCTTACTTCCCTCTGCATGTGGGAAACTGCTACTGTGTTGGCTCTGGACTCATGAAGCTCCTGTATGAGAATCTGTGGAGAGTGGCCACCAGGGAACAGCATGAGCTAAGCTTCCATCTCTGTGTCTAGAGATACATGTTTACAGGGCTTTAGAGAAGAAGTGTCCCTGTCCAGAACTTTATCCAATAATCCTGATTCCTTACCTTGTGGGTAAAAATATCTGATTAAAAGTTATCAAGAATATGTGATAAATGCATGGTAATATAGTGCATCTTTGAAACTAAAACTTGTTAATAGTATAGTATTAGTAATTGTTGCTTAATTCACATGTAAGAGTCACCTTATACGTATGAGTCAACAAAGCAGTGAGAGAATGAGATAAGAATCTCAAAGCATTCAGTAGGGATTTGACCACTTCATTTATGATGTTTCTTCTGTCTAGAATTCATATTTTTCACTTTTTAATAATTTTCAAAGTTGTGAATATTTGACTATTAAGATATTTGACTATAAAATAGTGTGGCTTTTTTTCTGAAAAGTTTTTGTTAAGAAGATAGTGTTCCTTACAACTGGTATTATTTCAAGGCTAAGAAGTACTGTATTTCAATTAAAGGTCATTTGTTCATTATTTCTGTTTAAGAAATATTTAGTGAGTGCTGAAAAAAAGGATAGTCAGTGTTCTAAATATTGGGGTACAGTGCTGAAAAACACAGAATCACTCAGTAATGACTTGACTTCTTATTACTTTCTCTGTATTCAAACCCAAGCACTTTTTGGCAGTCAGTGGATTATCGACAGGCTCCCAATGCATACATGAAAACACAAAGTACTGCATTAAATGTTTTAGAGACTGTTATCCTCTCTGCTACAGAAATGCCCTGGGATGCTCTGTTAAAGAACTTCCGCATCAGGTCGTGACCTAGGAACAAAGTAGACCTGAGAGGTCAGCACTGCTGTTGTTCAGATTTCCAAGTGCCACCTGAAGACTGGCATGTGCCTCATAAAGTCAGGGCCCAAGACATCTTGCTGACTCTGGGAGGCCTCTGGCCACCATGCAACCCATTTCAGTCCCCGTCCAGCAGGGGGCGCAGCTTCCTACACAAACACCTTTCCTGTGAGAAACGTGGGCTTACACTGCTCATTGCTCTGTCTCTCCAGTGCTTCTTCCTGCTAAGAATGCAGCACATTCTTTAGGTGACACTTTAGAGATGATTGCTTCTCCAGGCTTCGTGACTGTGGTACTCTTGCTGCTTGGTAAGTAAAATGCCTCTTAAAATTTGTATTGTGTCATTTATTGTGACAGTAAAACCTGTAACTATAATTTTATCCAGGAGGTTTATGCCCAAGGTGACACAGGTCTGTTTTCTTTTTTCCCAGGACAAACCCATGGAGACTCAGTGACCCAGACAGAAGGCCCAGTGACCCTCTCTGAAGAGGAGTCCCTGATTATTAATTGTACTTATTCAACAACAGGGTCCCCTACTCTTTTCTGGTATGTCCAGTATCCTGGAGAAGGTCTGCAGCTCCTCCTGAAAGGTGTGAGGGACAATGAAAAGACCAGTCACAAAGGTTTTGAAGCCATCCTACAAAAGAATTCCCAAACTTTCCACTTGGAGAAGTCCTCAGTGCAAGCGTCAGATTCAGCCGTGTACTACTGTGCCATGATTGACACAGTGACAGGGACTGCAGGGGGAGCTGAGCACAAACTCTGAGCAGAGCAGGGGCCCGGATGCCGAGTGTCTCTGACTGATCCACTCTGGTGCCAGCACAGTGTATGGTTGTCTGTCCCTCAGGGTCTGATATAAAAGTCAAAGAAATGGCTAGAGCCTAGGAACCAGAGGGACATTCCCCAGCCCAGCTGCTCATTAGTGCAACTGGAAATGCCAGTAGTTCCTCAGCCAGGACCCAAGTAATTTCAAGGTGAAACCATAGAACATTGACGTGGTCTCTTGCTCATCTTTCAGTGAGAGTCCAGCCCCACAGGTTTTTCAGGTCACCCTGGTGGGTATTGCTGTGTCTCATCACAGGTTTAGAGAGCCAGGCTGTGCCCGAGAAGGTGGTGTCTGCCCCAAGTCTTCCTGACAGAGAATGCACAGGAGAGGTGATGGGAGAGCTATAGCCCAAACCAGGGTTGGATAGAGAAAGAAGGGAGGGAAGAGAGGAGGGAACATATGTGAGTGAGCAGTGAAAAGAGAGACAAGGGACCCTGTCCTGTTTTTTCTGTTTCTCCTAAATCAGATGGTAGACACAGGCTGATATTCAAAATGAAGGGAAAGGGAAGAAACATAACTGAGGAAATGACTCATGTCCATGCCATTTAAGTAGATCTCTTGGCTTTTGAACAGTAAGAATTCAAGTGAGATGGTTTTCAGTGCCCAGGAAATATGGTGAGAGAAAATGCTCTTGGACTGATATTTTTTATAACAATATAGATAGATAAGTGACACTGGCAGGGAAATCCTATAAATTTCTCTTACTTCTATCTCAGAAGGAGAAAAATCTTAGGTTTGGGAGAAGGTATGGGAAGAAGAGAAGTAGTAAAAAGAACAATAGAAAAACAATCTCTGTATTGTCCTGCAAATATATTGCCAGACTTTTCAAATATTGTTACAATCTTCTTTATTTTCTTATCAGCTGATTTTTTGAGTGAGGTGTGATCAGAACACTAATGCATTTCCTTGTATATTAGTTACATTTTAGTGATTTAAATTAATTTTTTATTTAATTGATTTAAAATGTAAATTTTACAGTAAATTCTTGGTTGTGAGCATAATTTGTTCTGGAAACATGCTTGTAATCCAAATCACTTGTATATCAAAGCGAATTTCCCCTAGGAAATCATGGAAACTCAGATGATTTGTTCCACTACCCCATAATATTTATTTAAAAATGACTGCACTGCTGTAATATAATACAAAATAATAAAGAAAATACTAAATATAAAGAAAAATAGACAAATTAACTTGCACTCACCTTCAAAAACCTTTATGGCTGGTGTGGGAAATGAGAGAGGAGAGTTAATGTGATTTTCACTATCCCTAACAGAATCACTGCTGTCTATTGGCTCAATGTAATCTTTTTTTTTCTTGCAGCTTTAACAAGGAACCTATCCAATGACACTTGCTTTTGTCTTCTTTAGAAGATTTTACAGAAATGTGACATTGCATCGTTGTTAAACAGATTCATTGCTTGCACTGCTACAGCCATATTTGGGTGGTGTTTTCCACAAAATTTTGCACTGTTTCCCACATTTTACACATCTCCCTAATCTTATTTGAAGTGAGGGATTTGTCTGCCCTTTTCTCCTCCTCCTCTCCAGATGAGGTGCAGATGTAGACTTCTTATAAAGTTTTGCAATTTCGTCCACTCACATACCTCGTTCGTATTTCTCGATGATTTCCTTCTTCACTTCCACTGTCATCATCTCCTTCTTCTTACCGCCTTTCTTTTCAACCTTTTTCTGCATGGGGGCCATTATATATGTTCACACAGATGTTGACTACAGTACAGTATTAATAAACTTTTTAGATACTGTATTTAATGCAACTGGCATTAAGGCAGCAGAGGAAAGGGTCTATATCTGCAGGCAGCCTGACCTAGAATGAAGCAAAGCATCCCTAAGCTTCCTCTTATATGGAAGAGCAAAGGACTGTTGTCCATAGATGCTTTGAAGTGACAAAATATACACTAGTGCCAGTTGTGAGCACCTTCCAACATTCTGAAAAATCACTGTTTTCTGTCAAACACCACATCCTGAGACCAAGCATGGGAGACAATCACCCACAATTCCACAGTGAGAGAGGGAGAGAGAGAGAGAGAGAGAGAACCATTGGATAAGATGTGATCATGTGAAGTTTAGTGTCATGCACTACTCATATTGCAAGACACTGCTTGTTTGTCAAGTTAAAATTCATTAGAAATGTTTGCTTGCCTTGCGAAACACAGAACAAGGTACTCACTATCCAAGGTTTTACTATATTTTCAAACCTCTATAAATATCAATGCATGTTAAAATGTATCTTAAATAATTCAAAAGGGCATACACTAAGCATTTTTCTCAGACATTTGGATAAATATGGTAGGTTAAGGGTGCCTGATTGGTGCAGCTGGTAGAGCATGCGACTCTTAATCTTGGGGTTGTAAGTTCAAGTCCCATGTTAGATGTAGGTATTACCTAAAAACAAAATCTTTAGAAAAAACAATGGTAGATTAAAAATACACATTTATCTCTTGATTTCCCTAAAACTATTCAACAGACAGTAAAAGCATTCCAAAGAGCAGATACTAACAAACACAAATAAACACAGAAAAGAAGCTGTCAGCAGACAGTGATGCTGTCAAATTTTAGAGAATGAGCAGTATATGGAGAAACACAAACTTGCAGGAAAGACTCCATAAGGAAGAAACCCATGTCCAGTGTAGAAATACCTCAGTGTTTGCTGTGCCCTCCAGAAATGCTGAGGTAAAAGAAACCTCACATATTTTTTAATATTTTGTATAAGTGAGGAGGAGGATGTTGCCTACGTTGGTACATGCGTGTGTGCCTGCAAGCATTTGTGTGTGTGTGTGTGTGTGTGTGTGTGTGTGTGTGTGTGTATGTATACTGAAGGTAGGTATTGGGGTGGAGGGAAGGTAAATAAGTGGACTGAGGGAGAAAATTCATAAGGAACAGAACAGCCATGTACTCACGGCCCTTTATAACAAGCAACGATATAAACCAGCAGAAAATTGGAAGTTGATTTTTGAGGAATTGAAAAGAGCACATGAAAAATTTCCCTCCAAATCTTATGAATTATAAGCTTTTTGATTTTTGTTTATCAGTTTTGCTTTCTTCTACTTAAAAAAATTCTTCCCTTCCTCCCACTAACCACTGATTTTTTTTCTGTCCCCATAGTTTTGTCTTTTTCAGAATATCATATAGTAGGTATCAGACAGAATGCAGCCTTTTCAGATTGCTTCTTGCTCTTAGAAATATGCATTTAACTGTCCTCTCCATCTTTGCATGGCTTGAAAGCTCATTTCTTTTTAGCACTGAGTAAGATTCCATCATCTGAATGCACCATAGTGTATTTCCCCTTTCTTCTACTGAAGGACCTTGGTTACTTTCATGTTTTGGCAATTACGAATGAAGCTGCCATAGACATGTGTGTGCAAGATTTGTGCCGAAAGAAGTTTTGCAGTCATTTGGATAAACACCAATATTGGATTGCGAGATCATACGGTACGAGTATGTGCAGCTGTGAAAGAACTGCCACACTTGTGTTCCAACATGGCTGTATCCCCATCAGCCATGAGTGAAGTTTCCTGTTGCTTGTCATCCTTGCCAGTGTTAAAATAAAAAATAAACAGACCAGCCTTGAAAATTCCCTGGGCAGACAAAAGCAGTTTAGTCATACAAATAAAGCTTAATTTAGTTGATTTTGCAGGACTAACTTGACCTGCATCGTTTTTAGCTGTGCCTCTGAAAATCATAAGCAAACATGAATTGTTTCCCAAGTTTGATATAAGAAACTCACGGACCAATTTGCTATCGTTTATAGCAATTCTGGTATTATCACCATTTGCCATGAAGAACAGTCTCTGTGTCCTCAGTATATAGGCTGCTTTATAACAAAACACCACTGAGCCTCATTCCATGTTTTGGTTTCAGTGTTCGCAGTTCATGAACTGTCCCTTTGGTGTGTGCACAATACACCTTTACCAATTACCACTTTGGTGAATTCAGTGGATTTACCTGGGTGATGTCTATGTTTTTGACACCTTTATTTGGTGTTTTTAGTGCTTTGGATTTTGACTGTTCTAACAGATGAGGCCTGGAGTGTATTATTTTTTAAATTTTAATTGGTGTTACGTAAAGAACGCCTGACATGAGATATAGCTTCTTACAATTTTAAGTGTACAAAACATGATTGTTGGTTATGGGTATAGTGCTGTTCTTTCATTTTGCTCATTGATTAGTAATTTCCTGTTACCCCTTCCCCAGAGTCCATGGCAATGTCTTCTTTGTTCACTCTTTGATTCCATGAATTTGAGTATTTCAGATACCACATTTAAGTGGAATCATACATTATTTTTCTTACTGTGATTGGCTTATCTCAGCTTACTGTCCTCAAGGTTCATTCATGATGGGGCACCTGGATGGCTCAGTTGGTTAAATGTCCAACTCTTGATTTCAGCTCAGATCATGACCTCATGCTCGTTAAGTTGTGAGATGGAGCCCTGATTTGGACTTTGAGCTGGGCGTGGAGCCTGCTTAAAATTCTCCCTCTCCCTCTGCTCTCTCTGCTCTTCTCCTGCTAGTGGGACCCCATAAACTCTCTCTGTCTCTCAAAAACAGTTCATCCGTGTTGTTTCATATTGCAGAATTCTCCCTTTTATAAGGCTGAAGTACTCCATTTTATGTATCCATTCATCTTTCGTTGGACATTCAAGTTGTTTCCAGGTCTTGGTTATTGTGAACAGTGCTGCAGTAAACATAGGAGTGCCTAATTTCCCTTTGAGATCCCTGATTTCAATTCTTTTTGATAAATACTCAGAAGTGGGACTACCGGATCATATGGTAATTCTTTTAACTTTTTGAAGAACCTCTATCCTGTGTTCCATGCTCACACCATTTTGCATTCTCACCAGCAGTATGAAAGTGCTCCAATCTCTTCTCATCCTTGACAACACCTGTATTTTGCGTTTTGGATAATAGCCATGAATTTTTTAA